CCMRGGRTYCAGGGGCAGCCACAGCTTCTCTGGGCACCCTGKGCCAGGGCCWYCCCACCCTCACACCYTCCAACCTTGATCTTCCAGCTGCAGCACGATTTGAAGCTGGATTTTTTCTCTTCTGCCCTTAAGCAGGTTGAGGGTGGTGATCTCTCCTGTCTCATCCCAAAAACCAGTTGTGAATAAAACTGATTACTGGATTAATTGCATCTCTAAGTCGCTAATTACGCCTGTGGTTCTGTCTGCTCCCCGTGCTCCTCATCCCGAAGTGCCCAGCATTCCAAACTGTTGGATCCACACCTCAGCCAGGTCAGGTTTGGGCAAAGCACTTCAGAAAAACAATAATAACAYGGAAAACAGCCAGGGAGCAACCTGCCCCTTTGGAAGGATAAAAGCATTTCTCAGCTATTCAGGATCGAGGGGGGGGAAAAAAAATTCCCTTTGCGAGGGAATGCTGGCAGGGAATCCAACAYGGAATTAACTCAAAGCAGGTCCTGGCAGAGGGGAAGGAGCCTGGGGGGCACCTGGGGCTGCCCTGACCCCCCAGGCCGGACAGAGTGGCCTTGGCAGAGCTCCGTGACCCCGGCCCGGCTCCATCCGGCCAGGAAGGATGCGGTCTCTGTCCTAAGGGGGAAGCAGCGGCTTTATTAATCCCAGCTTTGCTAATGAGGAATTACAATAGTTGTGGGATTTGGCAGGGGGAGCGTGCTCGGCTGCCACGCATCCTACAGGATTTTCCCTGGTTTGTTTGTATTTTGGATTTAACTACAAATAATTTAAAGATGTGTTGTGTCTCCTCCAATTAACGTTCRTGTCTTCGGCCTCACTCTTTTTTTTGTTGTCGCAATTTTAAAACAATACCAGAGAATTTGAGCCTGTCAGATACTCTGAGACAAATTAATATTTATTTTTGCTCCAATTGTGGGGTTTCTTAGGGTGGCACTTATTAACAGATCAGAATTTGGGATGGTTCCCTTCGAAAAATTTGCAGCATTCTTGTCCCGGATGGAAAAATCTCCCGGTGTCAAAAATTTTCAGGCTGATAAAAGCATAATATTGTCCCAAGGCCAGTATGTAAATACCTTAACCAGCAGAACATGTTTAGAGGAATTACACTTTCCTCTCCCAAATTACCATCTTGGAAAGCAGCTCCACCACCACATTTATTTGAATTTTAAACATTTTGAAAGCAGATCTCCGAGGTTTTGAAATCTGGTTTCCATTCCTGGCTCAGTTTGACCCGAGGCCTGACCCTGAGGAAATCTTGGGCTCCGCTTCTGGATCTGCTCCGAGGATCTTCACTCAGTTTAACATCCCTCAGTGCTGAGCTGGGTGTAAGATTTCGGTGTTAAATGACAGAGGGGTTCGTTGAAGACAGGGTTTGGTTGCGATGACAAAAGGGAAAATTCAAACTCTYGGTTTTTTAAAAGAGGAATCGGTTTAAAGGCGCGCGAAAAAACTTAAATTAAGTCATTTTCTCTGCAAAGAAATGAGTTCCCCGAGGTGAAGGGTGGCTCTCCTGAGAGAGAGAGAAATAAGGAATAAAGCCAGAATATCATTTCTGGAGGGGATTAATTCCTTTTTCCCTCTCCCACTCCAGACACAGCCGGTGCCCAGCCCCATCTCGTACTTCATGCACCGCTCGCCGTGGTGGTTCCATCGCTTCGAGACTTTGGTCAACCACTTCATCGAGCTGGTGGTGCCCTTCTTCCTTCTGCTGGACCGAAAGATGTGCATCCTGCACGGGCTGCTGCAGATCCTCTTCCAGGTGAGACAATCCTGCTCCTCCTCCCGAGGCTCCGGTCCTTCCCAGTGCTGAATTCCCCTTTGAGCTCAGGGCACAATGGGAATTCAGGCTCCAGGGAAAGGGGATGACTCCCAGCCAGGAATTCCTGGGTGTTTCCCGATGCTCTCAATGCTGGAGGTTTGGTTTCTGTGTGGCAGAGAAATGGGAGCCTGGGATCCAAAGGCTCTGATCCTTGGGATTTCCTCRAAAGTTAATTTTTGTGGATGTCTTTCCCTCTCTGAAGGGATTTTCTTTTCTGTATTTATCCTTGTCATTTCCCCAAAGGTTAATTTTTATGGGCATCTTTCCCCCTTCTGAAGGGATTTTTCTGTCTGTATTTATGACTCAAGTGTTGTTCTTTATCTCTGAGAGTGGTTGAGCTGCTCCTCACAAACCCCAGACTGACTGAGCCGAGGCTCAGAATGGAAATAATTTTTGGAAGTTTAATGGTGCTCATGATCCAGCTGATTTTTTGGGGTGGGTTTCTTTCGTACCTGTGCAAAACTCAGAGCACAGGAGCTGCTGCATCAATACCTCCCCAGAGCCCCTCTGATTTCTCTCCTCTCTGTTAAGGCAGMGTTCAGGGAGCTCATTAAAGCTCTCAGGCTCTCCCATTTCAGCCCTCGCTGCCCTGTCTTTGTTCAGCATCATTTCAGCATCACGAAATCCATATTCAGGAGCTGCTGTTGTTGCTTCCTGTGAGTACACTGATGATCAAACTGGAGAGCAGCCCATAAACTCCCTGTGTGAGCAACAAAAACGCTGCTCGGGTTTTAAAGGTCTGACAGAGAACCCGATGGGTTTGTGCCCGAATGCTGCTGGATATCAGCTCTGACCTCTGCCCAGCCTTTGGGGCAGCTGTGCTTGGGTGGGATGGACCTTGGGCAGCTGGAGGGAGGGCTCTGAGCCAGGGGTGTCACCCCAGAGGTGCCAGATGTGTCTGGGACAGGCAGCACCCCTGAGGTTTGTGGGGTACTGGGAGGATTTTATTCAGCCCCACCCTAAAAAAACCCCGTTTTGTCTCATGGATAAAGGAAAAATTTCCCTTTGTGCTGGTTAGGATGAGGGAGGGCAGGGTTGGGTTGGAGACTGGGGAGGAATTCTTCCCTGGGAGGGTGGGGAGGCCCTGGCACAGATTCCCATAGAACCTGTGCTGCCCCTGGATGCCTGGAAGTGTCCAAGGCCAGGCTGGACAGGGCTTGGAGCAGCCTGGGATGGTGGGAGGTGTTGAGGTTGGAATTGGAGGATTTTACAGTCCCTTCCCACCCAAAGCATTCCATGGTGATGATGATGATGATGATGATGAAATAACCTGGAAATAACCAGCAGGGGGTGGAACGGGATGATCTTTAAGTTTCTTCCACCCCAAACCTTTCCATGTTCACTGCTCCTTTCTCATCCCCTTCTCACCTTGGGTTTGGTCCATCCTGGTCACTCCTGGACAGGGTTTGGGGATGGTGTCACCTCCATCCCCTTCCCATCCCCTTCCCATCCCCTTCCCAATCCCTTCCCATCCCCTTCCCAACCCCTTCCCAGCTCTGTGGAGGTCCCTGAGGAGCAGCAGGGCCCTGGGAGTGCTGGGAGACACCAGACAGAGCCTCAGGGACCTGGAACAGCCCAGTCCCCCCAATAAAAGCTCCTAACGCAGACATTGAGCCCCCTTTAATTGGCTCTTAATTGATCACTGGTAATTACTGACTGAGCTCAATCACGAGGCAGAAAGGGTCCCAGTGTCACAGGCAGCCCCGGTGCATTTACAGCATTTCAACAAAAACCTGTTTATTTAATATTTACTGCCCTCTCCTCCGTTCAGAACGACTTTTATTGACAGTCCTTGTGCTCTGCGAAGGAAGCAATAAAAGTTTAATGTTGATACGCCACTTAATTCTGCTTTTCAAGATCCGAATTGACATTACAGACAAGTTTTATTGGACATTTTATAATTGTTATTGGAGTCACGGTGGCTAGGTTGAGTGAACGTGTTTTTCCAGGTTCCAACTGGCCTGGAGAATATTGCTTTGTCAGGAACCCAAAAAAAAAAAAAAAAGCTGGGCTTGAAAGAAAGGAAAGTGGGGTTTGTTTTTTTTCCAAGTGTGAACTTATTCTTCTTGCCTGCTCTGCGTTTGTGAGGAAAATGGCTCAGTGAGGTTGGGAAGGGCAGAGAGGAGGGGATCAGCAGCCTGAGGATGGGTGGGTGCTCTTTATGGGGTTTCTGTGGGGTTGTGCTGGGCTGGTGGTGCTGATTCCAGCCCGGAGTGACCCCGAGGGAGCCGGGAGCTCTGCACTGTTCCCGTCCGGGACGTGCTCAGGAGGTTCCCATTGGTGTTTGGGGTTTGTGCTCAGTGGGATTTGAGCAGGGTGAGTTTGATGGAGCCCAAAGTGCTGCCAGCACCTTGATTCCCCCCTGGAGGGGACACAGGGACCCTGGGGATGAGCCCATTCCCAGGCAGATCCATGAAGGGCTGGGCATTGCTGCTCTTGGCCAGGAATGGTCCTTTCTGCAGGGCTCTGCTGCCCCTCAGCTTTGGGKTTTTTTGCCCTGGTTTCCTTGTGAGCTCAGGGCWAACCCCACCAGCTCCATGGACCTCCTGGGCACTGCTGCCAATTGTGTCTCTGCCAGGAATAAATCCCTGGAAGTKTTCATGAAAYGTGTGGATGTGACACTTCAGGACTGTGGTGGTTGATGGTTGGGTTTGATGATCTC